AAAGAAAGAAAGAAAGAAAGAAAGAAAGAAAGAAAGAAAGAAAGAAAGAAAGAAAGAAAGAAAGAAAGAAAGAAAGAAAGAAAGTTGGCTAGGTAGATTCACTTTAGGTAAAGGCTCTGCCCACTCAAGGGCTGGCACCTGCCCTTCGAAGTCTGAGAGCAGCCTTCCTCAACATCCGGCTCTCCAACCCATGCTGGCTGGGGAGGATGGGAGCTGCAGTCCCAGCGATGTGCCAGACCCGGAGAAGATCTGAACAATACCTTGACTTCGGCCTCTGGCTGCTCCGCTCTGGTCACGGTAACATGCAAGGCAAGCTTTGATGTGGTTACTTGGAAGGAACTAAGTACTTGGTCCCTGGCAACCAGCTTCATTTAAGGGCCCGGCCTCTCGGCTCTGTCCTGTTCCACCTTCAGAAAGATTTTGGAAACGTGGGTTTTTTTTTCCTCCCTTCCGCACCCTCGTTTTCCTCTGTGCCACCTCCTTCTGAGGGAGAGCCTGCCCCAGGGCCTTCCCTTCCAGGAGCCGACTTGGGGGCCAAAAGACGGGATCCCTGCTGCCATGCCTGACCAGCGGGGACCGTCAAGATGGCCTTTGCTCAGGGGGTCCTACGGAAAACCAGCATCGGGGCAAGCTCCGAGTCCGGAAGGCAAAGAGGCAGCCTGGAGATTCAGCCTCTCTTCTCCGACTGACTTTAAGAAGAGCAGCTGGGAAGCTGAACACCTTTGGTTTCTCCCAGGAGGAAGGGAGGAAGGCAGCTGCTCTTTGAGAAAAACACAGAAATACACGCCAGACCAGAGGCTCTGTTTTGTGGCTGTTTACTGGGGGGGGCGGGGAAGGCCTCTTTTAGAAACTCTCGCGGCCTTCCCGGAGAGGGCGTTACCCCCAAAAAATCCGCAGGAGAGTTATCTGCGACGATCCTGAACTCAAGCCTGGGGGGGGGGAAAAAGTGCCTTTCCTGCTGAGAAACACCTAGGACACCCACAGACGCTGCAACGGTCCTAGACCACGGAAGACATTTTAGAACCACTCAATTCCAAACTGCCGTGCAAAAAAAAGTCTCCTGAGAGGTTGATGGTTGTGGCTGCCTTTTTGGGCCACCTTGGCCAAAAGGTTCATAGCCAGACCCTCCCTCCTTTCCTCCCCCCACCCTTTCTCTCTTTCCCTTCTTCCCTCCCTCCTTCCCTCCCACCCACCCACCCTCCCTCCCTCCCTTCTTTCCTTGGCTTGTGAGTTGACCTTAGAAGGGGGGGGGGTTCCACCGTCTTGGTGGGCTAGAAGCAGACTTAACTGCCCATGCCTGGCAACGCACAGCATTAGGTCCCGGTGGCACACATTCCTGGCAGCCGAGCTTCCACAAATTCCCCTGTTGGAATGCCCCCACCCCTCTTTCCCTGAGCTGCCGTTTTGGTCCCCCTGGGCTGAGTCACGTGGACCCCGAACTCGCCACGGCTGCTGCTTCCTCCAAGGCTCCAGATCAAACTTCAGGCGGCTAAAACGAGGCCACCTTCTTTGGCTTTGTCGTTAGCCCCAAATAAATATTTAAAGTCAGGTTGTACGTTTCTGGTAATAAGCCCGACGTATCAACAAAGATGGTTCGGGCTCTGCGTCTCTCCGCAGCCACACAGCGCGACGTGATGCGCCACAAGCCTCCACTTGAGCATCTCTATGTGCCTCCCACTTGGGCAGCCCAGCCCTCCACCTATTGGGGGCCCTTCAGCCACCTCCTCTTTTTAAAGTTATCCCTTGCTCAGTGGTCTGCTTTGTGCATCCATCTCCAGGGCTGAGCTCCAGGGCTGTTGTGCCAGCCGGCCTGGTTGGTGAAGGGGAGGTTCGGCCATCCCAAGAGGCCAAGCCTGCTCCCGCCTTTGCCAGCGCTGGTGGCCAACTTTTCTGTGACCCAGTTTGGGCACCTTTTCCCTTGACCCTTGTGCCTCTCCTGGAGAGAGATGGGGTCAACTCAACTCAGAGGACGGGGAAGGGATGGTTGGATTTGGGCCACATCCCACTTCGTGGTTCTGGACCAAATGCTGGCAACCCGGTTTGTTAAGCAGGCTCTGGCTCAGCTCAGGTTTAACCTGCTCAGATTCACCTGGAAAAATATCCCCCACGTTTCCTCCTTCCAAGGAAGAACATTCGAGTGCCTGGTGGCTGTTACAAAAACAAACAGAAACTCTAAAAGATTATCTGTGGCTGCCCTTTTAGACATCTTGACTAAAGGTGAGCCTCCTTTTGCACGGAACGCACCTCAGCTGAGTCAGTTGCTCCCTTCCGTTTACATTTGAACCATTCTGCTATAAAAGCCTCCCTTCCCTCCCACCTTTTAACGTTTTCAGTGCTTTTATTTGAATTAGATTTGGACGAGTGGTGAGTTTTATGGACCAGGTTGGTGAGTTTTGCCTACGTCATTCCCTAGCATTTCGCTCGTACTGTTTGTTTATAGTCAGGCTGTCCTGAAGTTATTTTCTGACAGGATGTGGCTCGTCTGAGGGGCCTAAGGTCTGTCTTAGAAGCCTTAATGTTTGGGGGATTGACCGTTCATCCCTGTGACCGTTCCTCCCCGTCTAGTCATCTAACCTCCCCCCAAATAAATCCAAAACTTAATCTCATTGTGGCAAATCTTCCCTTCGGATCAAATGGGCAAGAGCACCTCTGCTTCTCCCTAAAAACATATTCCTCAAGGGGTTCAGAGGCTCTTTGGCCAAGACTTAAAGAGGGTTATCAGGGAGCTTCCCCCGAGCCCAACTTGCAGCCTTCAAGATTCGGAGCAAAGGCTAGCAGGAATCCAGGTATGCAAATATTGGCTTAAGATACACAGGGCTTTGGCTTACCTAACAAGGTGATCTGCAATCGCGCTATTTCTTATTGCAACGTAGCATTATCAAAGTAATAGGCATACAAAACCTAATTTCTCCTTTCCTCTCCCTTCTCCTCCTCACCCCACCCCTTTTTTTGCCTCCAAAGGGCAGGAACCGGCAAGTAGAACATCTTAATTTTGCCTACCGATTTTCAGTTACGCCCCAACCTGCTAGGGGAAATAGACTGAAGCAATGAGGGGGTGTGGATGTTTCCCAGAAGAGATACTGGCTGGGAACCATGGTTTTTTCCATACTCCCTCCAAGTCTAGGTCTGGGCACGGCAGCGGGGCCTGCAACCTCAGTTGAGTTTTCAAGGCCATAAAAATGCCCCTGGACATCCTGATATCTGGGCTTTGAATGAGGCAAACCAGTAAGGCAGAGCCTAATAATAATAATAATAATAATAATAATAATAATAATAATAATAATATAACCCGTCCCATCAATTGGTTGGCCAGCAAGTCTTGGGCCTGTTTACTTGGCCTTATTTGACCCAAGCAACAGCAGGATCGCTCCAGGGGTGATTCTTTTGAGGCCAAGGCGGAAAAGAGGCTTTGCTTTAGCACCCCAGTTAAAGAGCGCAGGAGCTCCTTGCTTGAGTTTGCTCTCCTTAGCCCCTTCTCTCTCTCTTTCTCTTTCTCTCTCTCTCTCTCTCTCTCTTGACCCCCAGCCCTTGGGCCAATCCCCCCACTCGGTCCCCCTGTCCAACCAGCACAATGATGAGTTGGAGAACAACGACTAAGGAAGGCCAGGGAGGTGAAGTCCAGCTCCCGAAAGGGAGGCCGAATCGAACCAAGAAGTATTTTCAGGTTCCATTTCCTCACTTAAAAAAAAAAAAAAACCAGTTTTCATAGTGTACTGTTTTATTAGTCAAATTGCCTCTCCAAATAGTCAAATTTCCTGCCTCGGGCTATTTGAAGCTGTTCCCACAGTGAAAAGCCTCCAGCCTTCGCTCTTAAGTCAGGGGAGAAAAAAATAATAACAACAGCTCATATTTACCAATGTGGCAAATATATCTGGAGCTCTAAACGCAGGTTTGAAGAGGGAAGCACGCAAAAGTTCTCCGCCTTTCCCCCCCACGATGTCCATTTTTTAAAAAGGGAAAACCTCCACTTCTTCCCGCCCCAATTATGAAAACATTTAAGTTCCTGCTTCAAAACACCCCTGCCTCTTCCCCCAATCTATAAATCAAACCCCAACCTTCATGCACCATCTCCAAACTTTTAAGATTCTCTTACAATGCTCTGAATTCCATTTCCTGCCTGCCTCCTTCTACAGCAGGAGGATTTGCTTTCTCTCTCTTTCTCCATCGTGTGCCTCTTAATACTGCACGGCCAAGAACCAAACTTCCCTTCGTTCTCGCTTCCCAACGCTGCTGTGTTGTCCATGAAACAATCCTACCTTTATTTAAAGAATCCCACCATTAGGAGGAGGAGCGGGACAGAGATACAGAGATAACTCTGCTTTTGTAAAGCACTCTGGGCAGACAAAGATAGAAAAAGCAGGGAACAAGGCGAAGAGATTTCTTAAACACGTTT